TCTCTTTACACGAGGCATCGGATTTAACGACCACATTCTGACCGGACGTGGCTGCAAATTTGTACATCCTGCACAGCCAAACGGACGCCCCACTTTAGCAAGGGTTTTACTGCCGGTCGGAGGAAGACAAATGGTGACCATACTTCTATCCCCCAGTCACCCTTGGGTGCCCAACTGAACAGAACTTTGTGTTTTTATTTTAAAGGTAACCTACTAACCGGACAATTTCAGAAACCCTAGCGGAAGGATAAAAGTCCAAAAAATCACGTATATCAAACAGTTACTTGTCATCTACATACACCTACAAGTTTCATCCATCCTCTCACTACACCAAATCGAGTAAAGTCCCTAATCAACACCAAAACCAAGTATAAAAAGTAGTGGAGGAAAAGATTGATTGATTGATTGTTGGTTGCTTAACGTCCAGTGGCAAATATTTCATGCATATTCAGGACGAGAACAAAGTAACAATAAACACAATAGGTAGGTTCTGTAATAGGGGCGTCCGGGATCAAGGTCGGAGAAATTTAGACTGCCACGGGAAATGAGGGTATATTGGATAGGGACAGAATTTTAGCCTTGTAACAGGTCACCTACGGACCCCTCAAAGAGTTGTTGCAAGGGTTCTTAACGTGCAAAGAGCATGGCACTCTTTTTACACGAGGCATCGAATTTAACGTCCCCATTCTGACCAGACGAGGCTGCAAATTTGTACATCCCGCACAGCCAAACGGACGCCCCACTTTAGCAAGGGTTTTACTGCCGGTCGGAAGAAGACCAACGGTGACCATACTTCTATTCCCCAGGTGGAGGAAAAGAAATAAAGGTCTTCGGTGGATGAAGCTTAGAAGTGGTCGAAAAACCAGGACAACCAAACCAAGCATGAACAACAACCTTAAAGGATTTCACCCGTTGTCACCAGCACCCGGATCCAAAGTTGGAGAAGGGACACTAGCGAAAGAACTGAAACAAATACCAGAAGAAGTAGACGAGGAGACACACCCATATACCATTGACAACCTGGAACAAACAGAAAACCAGGGAGCTGCGGCGCCAGTGCCACAGAAAAAGGAAACATCAGAAAAAGGTGGTGCAGGAGTGGAATTTGGCAGCAAGAATCAAATTAATTATAAATTTAACTTTGCACCTAATGTACCCACTAAAATTAAATTATCAGTTTCCAAATGTTACAAGTCGGCCAACAACGTCCAATGGTAATTATTCAAATTGTCCACCATTGTTAAATTCAAATCCGATTGCTAATCATCAACCATTGGTACAGGCTGCGAGAATGCTTAATGTAATTTCTTTAACTAAATTTAGGGAAAAACAACCAGCCAAGCAATGGTGGACATTGTTTATGCAATGGGTTTTATATCATTCAATGACGGAAGCAGTGACTCTCGCAGCATTTCCATTTCAGTTAGGACATTAGCACATTCAGATTTCTTTTATTTTAATTTTAGGTTGACTGGGGAATAGAAATATGGTTATCATTGGTCTTCCTCCGACCGGCGGTAAAATCCTCGCTTAAGTGGGGGGTCCGTTTGGCTGTGCGAGATGTACAAGTTCGCAGTCACGTCCGGTCAGAATGGGGACGTTAAATCCGATGCCTCGTGTAAAGAGAGTGCCACGCTCTTTGCACGTGAAGAACACTTGCAACAACTCTCTGAGGGGTCCGTAGGTGGCCTGTTGCAAGGCTAAATTTCTGTCATCCAATATACCCTCATTTTTACCGTGGCAGTCCAAATTTCCCCGACCTTCATCCCGGACGGCCTCTATTACCAGACCTACCTATTATATTTATTGTTAACTTGTTCTCGTCATGAACATGCATGAAATATTTACCACTGGACGTTAAACAACCAACAATCAATCAATCAATCTTCAATTACAAATCCACTCAATAAATTGATAAGAAAGAATATTCCATTTGAATGGACTTCAGAAACACAGATAGCATTTGAAAAATTGAAACAAGCATTAATAACAGCACCAATATTAGTTCATGCAAAAATGAACAAGCCTTTTCATGTAACTGCTGATGCATCAAATAGTGCAATAGGGTATTATTTGTCACAATAAGTTGAAACAGGTAGAGGACGTGTTATAGCATATGGAGGTAGATCTTTGTCTAAGGCAGAGAGAAACTGGTCTACTTTAGATCTAGAATGCTTAGTGGTTTTAGAAGCAATTCGAGAATACAGATCATATTTGCCACTGGACGTTTGGCAACCAACAATCAACCAATCGATAACTTTTATTAAAAATTATCAAATTTAATATTTTATTGCTTGGAAAATGTTTTCTTGGCAGCTTTACGACTATTAGACGTAGATAAATCCAAGATAATTTATCAAAGGCACATACAATAGTACCTTTATTAAGTTTTTTCTCGTTATGAACAAATGATAAATGCCTGATACAGAGAATTTCTTGAACTCCCATCAGAAGTATAGGATTGATAACATAATATATAAGCAGTATCTTATCGAAGTAGACAATCGTTTCAAATGAGTTCTCGAAATGTAGAAAATCTGCAAGTTGTTCAAAACGTGTACATGTATTTAGGTGTTGGTTGAATGGGTCAGTAGGTTGGGATTAGAAACCAATAACATATAGGTTTGTTTCATTAAACTCTATTTGATTTTAATCTGTTTTCATCCGAAGAAGTTGTAACAGGTCATTCGCCAACTATCCCCTTTCTCTGTTGTATTATCGAGTCGTTTTATACTCTGAGACTCTTTCGAAATACTAATGATGTTCTATCCTAGGAATAGATATACCGGTACTTTGCGACAATACCGAAATAAAAAATAAAGTTCTATCCAAGGTATAGATGCATGTTGTGACTCTCATCGAAATACTAAGGATGTTCTACCCAAGGAATAAATTGCCCACAGAGTATTTGGCAAAACGTGTAGGAATTTTGGGTCCTTATTGACTTGCTACAGACAGAGGTGATGTACCAATACTATTATACATATTTACCTCTACTGAGTGTTGTAACAGTTCTTGACTACATTAACATATCCCGTCGCAATTGCTTGCCATAGAGGTGATGCACCAGTATTTTCACACTTATTAACTTCTATTAAATGTTGCAACAGTTCTTTCTTTACCAACTCATGTCCCACCTGAAATGTGACTGGACAAAATAGATATGGTCAATACAGGTCGTCTTCTGACCGGCAGTAAAACCTTGCTAAAGTGGGGCGTCCATTTTGATGTGCGGAAGGTACATGCCTCGTATAGCGAATGCTACGTTCTCGGCATGCAAGGAACCCTTGCAAAAATTCTTATAAAGAGTTCCATATATGGCCTATTTCAAGGCGAAATTCCTCTCCTAATCCATTTTCCCTCATTTTCTAGTAGCAGTCCATATTTCCCCCGACCTTCAATCAGAATGGACTCTATTACAGGACCTAACTATTGTAATAGGTGTGGATTTGTTCTGCTCCTGAACATAAAATATTTGCCACTGGACTTAAGGTAACCAACACTCGTGCAGAACGATTATGTGTTTATTATCAAGATGTCGCCATATCACACAGTCTTATCGTAAGTAGTTTTAAACAAGACACGTAGTGGTTACAAGCAGAAGTTTTGTATGAAATAAATGTAGGTCAGGAAAAAGCACAGTTATTATACAGATTTTATTTACTTTGTCTTCATTCTCTAATCACTTTCCCCCAAGGGTGACTGGGGAATAGAAGTATGGTCACCATTGGTCTACCTCCGACTGGCAGTAAAACTCTTGCTAAAGTGGGGCGTTTGTTTGGCTGTGCGGGATGTACAAATTTGCAGCCACGTCCGGACAGAATGGGGACGTTAAATCCGATGCCTCGTGTAAAGAGAGTGCCACACTCTTTGTACGTTAAGAACCCTTGCAACAACTCTCTGAGGGATCCGTAGGTGACCTGTTGCAAGGCTAAATTTTCTGTACCTATCCAATAACCCTCATTTCCCGTGGCTGTCTAAATTTCTCCGACCTTGATCCCTGGCACCCCTATTACAGAACCCTACCTATTGTATTTATTGTTAATTTGTTCTCATCCTGAATATGCATGAAATATTTGTCACTGGACGTTAAGCAACCAACAATCAATCAATCAATCTTATCAAGTTAGAAAATAATTGAAATATGATGTTCAAGATTTCAGCTTAACCAACAGGTGAGAATATACCAGTGATTTTACCTGTATATCCGTCATATTAAGGATATTCTCAGGAAATTTAACCTTGCAACTGCGAAACAACTGGTGTTGTCATCACAGAGTTGAATCTCATAAGTCATAGAATGCTTTATATAGAAAATATTGTAAAAATCATTTCGCAACATAAGCGATTAAACTATTTACCTTGACAATTAGGTATACGTGTGTATTTAAATAATTCCATCAAGTATTTTTCCAAAGAAGTAAATAAATAATATTTATCTAGATTTCAGGTGGGAGTAGGCATTCCCTGATAGATATTAGAATCATTTCTTCCCTAGAAGTAAATAGTTATTTTATGTCACTCAATATATATAGTATGTTAACATGAATTCAAATATCGTATGTTGAAAGATTTGTGATATTTATATGAAACTTCAAAATAAAACACACTAAAGAAAAAAATATCAAAATGTCGCTATTCTTCAACAAGACACGTTTTGGTTACAAGCAGAATTTTTTTTTATGAAATAAAATTAGGTCAGGTATAAAGACCAGTTTTTATACATATTTAATTTATTTTGTTTTCATTCAATCATCAATTTAGAAAATAATGAAATATGATGTTCAAGATTTCAGCTTAAAACCAACAGGTGAGAATATATCTGATTTTACCTGTATATCCGTCACATTAAGGATATTCCTTAATGAATTCAACCTAGAAACTGCAAAACAACTTGTGGTGTCATCACAGAGTTAGTTTCATAAATCATATACTACTTTATATAGTAAATTTTGTAAAAATCATTTCGCTTCATAAACTTTTAACACTATTTACATTGACAATTAGGTATACATGTGTATTTAAATAATTATATCAAGCATTTTTCAATTCGTTAGGACTGTTGTTATAATGAGTGAGAAATCAATTAAACGGCATGACAAATCATGTTAGATTTGCCTGAGACTACTATAACACAGAGATTGGTCACTTCCCGTACTGACCAGTCAAATAGTAATTAATTGTAAGTCTTCGATCACGTGACTCGGCACGTGACCCGCAATGATTGACAAGAAGGATTCGACCGCCATTTTTGACAGCGAAAGAGAAAATAATAATTAACAAATGTGGATTTATAAAGAGTGTTATGTTCCGGTAAGCGTGAATATAAGATTTGACATGTTCATAAATGTTGGTTTATAAGCACTTTAAATAAAAGAAGTGCAGTTATAGACTTGAATTTACCGACCAAACCGGAAAGTAACCTCGAGTTATTACCAGTCCGTGGGACAGGGTCAATGAGCAACTCACCCATAACTTACATTCAGATGAACAATCTGTTTTCCGGATAATGTATGTGCAAGCCTTAGTAATTAACCGATGTAATGATGTAAAATTTGTAATTATATGAAATTCCAATTTTTCTGTATCAGTAAGTTCCCGCTGCAGAACTGAGAAACACACGAGACAAGTTGCACACACACAACATGAGGTCTGATAGGTGAATTTGTATTGTTAGTGAAAGAAATTTAGATTTATATTTGGTTCCCCTTGATAACATATATGCAGTCTATACATGCTAGTATAATAATATTGTGCAATGAAAATGTGTCACCATGTGAAATACCAGTACATCATGAGTTCCTAAATAGACGTTTTTTTTTTTAAATAATTGACCCAAACATGATGTAAAAAGTACATGCACCTTTGGTCTGCATCCTTTATCAGTTTAACTATTTTGATCCATATTGTCATGATTGGTCAATTACTGCTGAGTCTCAAGTTTCAGATTACTGTCTTTAAAATTAATGAATTGCCTATGCTATAAACTTGACAAAGATTATTTCTTTTTATTTATAATATATTCTTTATTGTAGGAATACCCCCAGAAAGAAATCACGCATTAGAAGAAGGGAGAAGTACTACAGGAGAAAATGACTTTTTTTAGTATTTTTTTAAATTTCATTGAATTTGTCATGCTTGTCTTACATGGAGAAATAAATATTTAAGTCTTTGAATATACATTTTTATTATTATATATATTAAAACTAAGACAGGAATGCAGAAATTCACTAACACGCTCAGTTTGGATAACAGTTCAATGAAAGAAAAAAAACAAGTAACCACACATCTTTATATATTAAAGGAATAGTCACTTGAAGCAAACTTTAAGGAGATTTTTATATATTTTTGTAAATGATCATCAGACAACTCCTTTAGTCCAAATGAAGTTCAATGAAGTGGATGTAAGTTATTGGAATGCACCGTAATTACCTTCAACAATGAGAAAACCTATACCGTGCAGTCAGCTTCAAAAGTCCCCGACATGGAAAATATATTACAATTCACTAGAGAAAACGAAGTGTCTACAATAACAAAGCAATTTACGAAAATTCAAATATGACGGACATGAACCAACAGCAACCACTGAATTACAGGCTCCTGACTTGAGACGGGTTCATAAAGAATGTGACAATGTTAAATATTTTTAGGCGCTTATCACCACCACTAGCATGGGACATTGGTGCAACGACATAACATAAAAACAAACTTTATTAAACATAATTTGAAAATAGTTCATTTCGGTTTAATCAGACTGACTGTACATGAAATATTTGCCATTGACAAGCAGTTGTGAATCGAAGTTGAATTTACAGAAAGGTGACATCAATATATGCTATCATATTTAACATTCTTGTTTAGATCTGCATGACATTGCTACGTATTTATACATTCCGCATTATTTTTGGCTTCTCAGAATTTTCAAATGGTAAACTGTCAGCAGTTACCCAACAAAAAAATGTTATAGGGAACCTATTTACAAAGCATCATGCCGACAACAATTAACATGGTTTGTCACCAAACATTGAACAAGCACATTTATATTTGCTGTGGCTAAAAAAACTAAAGCAAATCACAACTCTTTTCATCTGAGTTGCTCAATTATTAGGGTTACAAAAAGCATAGCGATATAGCTAAAACATACGACACTTTAACAATAGACAATATTCAAATTTTCAAAAACTTTACGGCTCTGTATTGAGGCACAAAATTTCTTGTCTTGGATTTTGAAAGAGGGCACATATTTCTGGTGTTGAAAAAATGTCATCGTAATTTACACTAATGTGGTTCTATTTATGTTAACATGGAGATAATTTGATTATTCAGTCACGTAATTTTGAAGCTTCTTCGTTCTGATTTACATGTACTTGCGGTTGATGCTTCTTTTGGAGTTTTTGTAGTTTTTGCAGTCTTTGCAGCAGGGACGTATAGTCATCCTCAGATTCAATATCTGATGCAGTATATTCACCACGTAAAAGATCAAGATTGAGATCACTATCATCCCAAGATAAAAAATCAATGTTACTGGACATTGTGAATTGAAAAATGAAAATGCCGGCGATATTTTGGGAACATATATATATAATTTGTAGGGCTTATGTTTGCTTTATGTATCCATTGCAGTTATAACCTCTTTGCTGATCTGTTACGTAAGGAAATTACTCATTTACCTTTAATGAAACTTGTTCTCTCTTCTGTGATCGTCGCTTATTACATTGTTTGCAAAAACTTGACCTAATTATCAGACGGAAATTTAAAAAAAGTGGGGGGGGGGGTGGGGGGGTTGAAACTTGTTTGAAAAAAAAAATTACGTTGGATAATCTGAATGAGGGTCTGGATGGGGGTTCTTTATTTCCTATAATTTCTATGCCATTTTTCTCTATTCTTTAAATCTTAATAACTTATTATTTTCTCTTCTCTATTCTTTATTTGTCGGTCCATTTTTCTCCATTCTATACTTTTTTGCCCCTATTTCTCCATTCTATAAAGCCCCATCCACACCCTCCTGAATCCTACCACAAGTGCACCGACGATATTTGACAAGGTTTACTACAATAAACATGTATATTGGGCACTCAGCAGTGAAATACCTTACAAGTATAGAATAAAAGTTTACTGCAATAAACGGAGCCTCGTGTACCTTGGGCACCCAGCTGTGAAACAAAATTCATCTGCCATGCTTTTGAGACTACCTGTCTTTACAGGTAAAATATTTGTATATTAGATACAATTAACGGACGTGTAGCAAAACAATGTAACTGTAAGATTGATAAGATTAATCACATTCACATTTTCAAGAGTGGTCGCATAATAACAAACTATAAACAAATTATTAATGATTAAAAACAAAAATTTAAATATGAATAGAGATAACTGCATTTGAAAGATAAAAACTATATTCTTTTTTTATTTTTATTAATTCAATTTTGTTTTTAAATTATTTTTAAAAGAAAAATAATAATATCCGATACTGTTATAGTATTCTCAGTGATAGGTGATATATGTCGTCTGCTACGGTCGAATACGAAACTACGTTAAAATAACGTAGCTAACTACCCGAGACTCAGATAGTCCGATAAATCTATAGTGACCAATCTCTGTGTTATAGTAGTCTCAGGATTTGCTGATTAATTCATGCTAACCAACGTCAGTACCTAGAATCTTTACTTCATGACCATCGTGTATTTTATATTTGTAAAAATTGGTACGGAATGTCTCCATTCAATAAATATTGAATTCTATCCTGCAAAAATATGATATTCAAGATTTCAGCTTAACAAAACAGGTGTGAACATACCTGTGGTTTTACATAATCATCACATTTTAGTTGCGTTCTCTAAACATAGAACATTGTGATGCTACGGAACAACACGTGGTGATATCACAAGTCTCGTCTTCTCACAAGTCATGTAATGGTTAATATAATAAATACTGTAAATCATTGATCTGCAACGGTTAAAACTCTTTACAATTCATCGGGATGCGTCATACTTCTATAATTAGCATACAGAAAAAAAAATATTTTTGACGTTCTAGTTACTTCAAATAGTAACAATCTTGCATGTCTTCGAATATTTTTTTCTGAAGTAATCAAGACGCCTCCTTTATTCACAAACTTTAAATGATAAATCGCCAGAAAGTATGCATTGAAAATAATAAATTATTACCAGATCATGTATATATACATATCATCAGATGTATTGAGAAAAATATTGTCTTATTTTCTCTTGATGTGGCCATGTATTGAGTTATTCGCAATCATTCTAAATATTTAACATTACATAGTCTTATAGTTTCCGCATTGTAAAAGTGTTTTTTTTTTAATTCTACAATTGTCAAATGTAGCATTTTGTGATATATTTCTTTTAAATGTATACTTAAGGAATTGTCCTCAATTGGTAGCAGGGGCGGATCCAGAACCTCGAAGTCTGGGGGGGCACCATGAAACCAAAATTAAAGATTTGTTTAGATATGTATATATGCGAGTGTGGGTGGTGGTGGTGTCATGTATTAGGGATGATGGTGGTCGTGGAAAGGGGGGGGGGGGGGGTCGGTCTTCATTTCTATATCTTTTCATTATTTTTGGATCCATTTCTTTCTACTCTTTTATTTGCTGCCAATTGTCCTCTATTCTTTATAGTTCATCACACCTTTAATCTGTTTTCTATATTTTTGGGCACATTTTTTTCTAGTCTTTACATTTTGACCATTATTCTCTAATCTGTAAACCCCATTTATACCCTCATTCACGGTAAACCATTCATACCCTCATTCATGGTAACCTATTCATACCCTCATACATGGTAATTAAAACAAGAAAAAAATGTGTATACACATATTACTGTACTATAATAGAAAAAGAATGGATATTGGGTATCCATCCACGACACAAAATCAGTACATGCACAGCAAAAAAACACACAATAAGCAAAGGAACAGCGCTTTTATTGCTGTTCTTTATCTCAAATATGAGTATAGGTTTTCTAAAAGTACAATATCATTTTATTAATGATATATATATAAGGCACAGACCATTCATGTTTTGTGGAGAGGGACTTAAGGTTTTTTTTTAAAGACAAATCATTGGTTTCCATAAAAAAAAATAAAGGGAAAAAACACGACATTCAGTTTAAAAAAAAGATGTATGCATTGAAAAAAAATCGTTTGTTGTTTAATAAAGTCCGAAAAAGACTGTTCTGAGAAAGACACATTCCCCAGAAACCGTATACAATGTGAGTGCTTGGTAATAAAGACGTATCTCATATAGATACTAACATTCCTGACACAAAACATCTATTTTTACATATTCTTTTCAGACCGATTTTAGTTGGTAATTTCTTTCCTGATCAGAAGATTTCTCTTGTTAATCGATCTTGATCCTGTAATATTGTATTAGAAATCAATAAATATATTCGTATTAATTCCAATCAGCATGTAGATGTACATGTAGTTTACATAAATGCTTTTGGATATAGACATTACACAAAGGTGTCAATATTTACACACCCATCGATAAGTTGTCATAAATCACGCATGTTGAATCTGGGGTTAATTAACGACCAGTTTAGGAAGTCAGATCAAGCTGTGTCTTGATTTTTGATCTAGATATCTAGATAAGCAGATACAGTAGCAATAAAACTATGTTAGAAAATTTTTTGGTGACCCCGACTGGGGGGGCACGTGCCCCCTGTGCCCCCCCGGTAAATCCGCCACTGGGTAGTTTGTTAAGAATATCCCTCTCCATTCTCTTTTCTGTGCCTGCGTTACATATGCTACAAGGAAAAGATCCCTGATTTTTAATCAAAAAGTATGAGAGTGGATAGTAATTGAACTCTCCAAACATGATTCCCTTATTGCCTCTTTAAATAAGTTATCGTCATTGAAAATAATAAGTTATAACCAGATCATTTACATCAGAATAATACAATTTTGAAAAGAAAAAAATCTTCGGATTTTCTCTATTTCTGGCCATGTATTGAGTTATTCACAATCTATCCTACAAAAAAGAAATAATGAAAAGTATTCAACAATTATAGAATGTAATAAGGTTACACTTTTAAAAAGATAATTATTTGTGTCTGGTCTGAAGGAAAAATCCCAGCATAGACGTACTCCAGTTGTGAGACTTAATTTGTAAAACTTACCCTACAAGTAACATGTCTGAAATAGTGTCATG